GTTCAGATGAGGCTTTGATGGCCTATAAGTGAAGTTCACTGATTACAATGTGGAATAACATTGAGATGTTAAATAATTTGGAATAAATTATGGGGAAAAGTAGGAGTTTAATGGGTTTAGAATAAACCTGCAATGATACTTGTCTCTGTGATGCTGAATACTTTATTACTCTTATGATCTGCAGTTGGTTGCAAATGTGAAGTTGTTTAAATTTAAGACTTTGTCTTCTGTGATACAGGAGCTGGGAGCTAAACAAGCTGAACATTTAAGTGCTGACTAATGTTTTACACAGGGTTACAGCTTGGAGTGAAGCTGCTCCAAGGGACAAACCCTGGAGATTGTTTTAGGGAGACTGTGCGACACTCTTTTACATGTCTCATTGGGGAGTTGACACATGGCGAAAGCCGTGTGGCGAGAGGAGTGTCATTTTTTCAATTTGTAGATGTCGTGAGGTGCCATGACGAGAAGGAGTGACTGAGAGGATCGCCCACAAAATGGAACCTGAGGGAGCGTGCCAAGCTCCAAAAAGTGACAGCGCAGAGGAGGTCCAGCGATGGACTTGTGGTTCTGTGAACAGCACAAATGCAAGGTGACTGTAAAATAACTAACAGCACTTTTTCCACAAGTGAAGCCAGTAACTTACTATCCTAAAAGATTAGCTCTAGTTGCTCGTGCTTTACCTCCATGCGTGAGATCAGTATGTGCAGCAGCTTAAGCTGTACAATGTTTCAATAGTTTATTTCACCTTTTGCAATTGTTAGTTCCACACGAGGTAGATGTCTACTATTGCAGACTAAACTTACATTTCTGTCACCTACAAGACACTTGTCTTTAATGTTACTGTTACTCTCACAACCACACATATTACCATAAAGTGGTGCACAATTCTGAATCTGTCCAACCCTTTTTGCCAACGGAGGAGGGCACTTCTCATGAGTGTAGAGAGCGCGAGGAGAAGACGTGTAAGCTGAGGGATGACTTGATAGATGTGCCACTCGTTGAGGGAAAGGTTTGGTTTGTTGATGATTTGAGTTTTACAACAGCAGAGGGACAGACTAGAACACGTTTTACTGTAGCAGACAGTGAGAGAGAGTTATCTATGTAGGACAACTAGCATGTTTCATATTTGCTTGAGCAGCAGAGATGCTAGCTTTAACGGAAGCGTGTAAAGCTGTAGAGAGACAATATACACTGATAGGCAGTATACATTTGCTACTGTACATTTCTTTGTAGTGCAGTGAGTGAGACGAGGTATGACAACCTCAACAGGGAAACCTGCAGAACACACCAAACTTTTGCAAAATCTGCTGGAGGCAGCGTTATTAACCAGTGGAATTGCCGTTTGTAAATGTGCAGCACACATGTGAGGGAAAGATCCGGTTGCATTAGGGAAAGTTTTTGCAGATAAGATCGCAAAAGAGGCAGCTGTAGTTAAACATGGTGTTAACATTTTAGAAATACAGCATCAGCAGACATGCACATCCACTCACCTACAGCAGGAAAACAGTTGTGACTTACAGAGGGAGCAAGCTTGCAGGATGATTTTTTATCTGTGTGATAAACCAGTACTGCCTGATAATTTGTATAAGACTGCTGCTATTTTGAGCCATTGGCTATGCCATGTCTCAAACAGGAGGGAGATGAGCAGTCGTTATACTCACTCTAGGATTATTAAATACTTTTAAAAAAAAACTTTTTTGCAGAGAGAACTAATGGAACAGTAAAGTTAGGATTTAGGAAGACAGGCAGGACATGGTTAGACTGTATAGAATAAGTACACGAGGATTACTCCAACAGAGAATGGTCTGACTCTTTGAGATTACACATGTTAGAGGATTTAGAGTTAGAGTTAGAGTTCCAGTCTTCTGTAGTGATGATAGAAAAGCAGAAGAGAGAGCATATTAGCAGATTAGATGCTTGAAAATGTTTAAAAGTAAAGTAGTCATGAGAACAAATGATCTGCCAGATGATTCTGTTTCTTCGCAGGAGCAGAGCCTGAAGTCTGGAGATTGGATGATGATAAGGCCATGGAGAGGAAGTGCTGGTCCAGTCCATGGTGGGAAGGTCCATATCGGATGCTGCTGACGACGACCACAGCAGTGAAGATTGCCGGAAGGAACACTTGGATATATCAAGCGCACTGCAAGAAGGTGACACACATCCAGGCCAGCTCGGAGTAAGTGGCAGGAAGACCGGGAACAAAGGGGGGGGAAGCCTCCAGGGCCCCTCGTCTCAATCCGGTGAAGAAACCAACTGAGCCACAGGTACTCATCAGAATGGCTGGGAATGTGTTGTGCATCTTCTTGTGCCTGTGGACCCTGAGTGGGATGACAGGGAGCGCACTGGAACAGAGCAAACCACACCCAGTACCAGCATGGGTTTTCAACAACTACTGGTGGCAGTTTAAGAACACAACCGCTCACATAAAGAATGAGACCAATGGTTATGCTTGTGATGCCACTGGCTACACATTCTTCTGGACTGTGGCCCTATAGCATCACTGAGAGCGAGACAGTTTGTTTGGTTGCCTTAGCAACACATCCGGGAACACTGCCAACTTTTCAACTGCTCTGAACCTGAATGGAAGGTTGATTCACCAGTAGCTGGGAAGGTGAACTGCTCTGGTGAGACAGACCTGCTCGTCTGACTCAAAGAATATGACTTGTTGCAGGACATTATACAGTTAAACGAACTGGAAACAGGCCAATTGCCTATGTGTACGAAGGACAATGGATTAGCCCAAGTTGGAGATTAACCATGGAACATGGCAACATCACTTATTCTTTTGTCTTTTGCAAGAAGGATGTAAACAGAGAAGCCTTTTGTCTACATTTACATCATGAACACTTGAGGTTTTGAGCCAAGAAGATCAAAACAGCTTGATCCAATTTCCTTTACAAAGCTTTTTCTGTGGTGACAACAGGACAGGAGAAGAGTTGTAAATGCAGATAATTCACCAGTTGACTCTAACCCCCACAGGATGCCTACAGTGAAAAGATTTGGGGGGTTGATAGGAGTCATAAAGAAGGGTGTTGACCAGGCTGCAGCTTTGAAGTTAGCTGAGAGCCATATGGACAAACAATAAAGTCAACTGATGCGTTTAAATACCTATGTCTGTATACAGTTGGATTGTAGAGACATATGATTTTTGAGAATGATGATTCTTCTTGTTTGACCTTTGACATTCAGTTGTGTACTTGAAGAAATACATAATGAATTGCACGACAGGAGTAGATCCGCCACAAGACTGGATAGCTTGGTTACCGTCTGGTCCTTGGTGGCATCTTCTTTTGAAAATATTAATTCCTGTTTTTGAACTGTTGATACTGATTTGCTTATGTATAGGATGTAGTTTACTGTGCATGAATGAAATCTACACTGACACTGTCAAACAAAGGGTGCATAAGTTGAAATTTAAGTATACAATGACAAAAAGGAGGGAAATGTTAAGTCTAATTGTTGAATGTCGCCATTGTGTTTCTTAAATTTGTATAGTCTTAGTTTAAGCAGTAGGATCAAAGCCATTCCTTTGATCCTGACCACCTCTCCAGCCACTCTGTGCTGGGGGAGGTTTTATTGTAGATACATCCTAACTTGAAGATCTGTTTGATGTTTGGTAGAGCTTCCTACCCTTTGTATGGTTTCACTGTGTTATCTTTGGTAAACCATACATTGGGTGTGGGGGAAGACTACCCTCTTTATGACCAAGGATGTTGTTCCTGCTTTTAGGTTTTATGACCCTTTGACCAACACACACACACACACATTCTCACATAACACACACACATTCTCACACACACACACACACACACTCAGTGTATACATTTACATACAGTGCCTTGTCTTTGTAACCAAAGGGGGGTTGCAAGGGGAGGTGTTTTGTAAACTATTGTTTGAAGTTTGTCAATAAAAGGCGGCGAGAGGAGGCCACCAGTGTGGTCATTTCAACGTGCTGGTCACAGACGAGAGGCCTCCCTTGCGCAAGAAATCGATCGAACACTGTTGCCTTGCTTTTCTTTCATGGGAATAAGTCTTGGATACAGCGGGGTCTGAGTTTAGACCCAACATATTCATTCATTAAAACACTAAAATTTGTCTGTTGTCTCAGTGGCTGATAGTGCCCACAGGCATCAATAGCTTGAAATAGCTTGAAGCTATTTATAATTTTTATGTTTAATGGGTGGGTGCTCACGATAAACAGATTTTGAATGAAAGCCCGGGAACTTCAGTACCACAAAAAGTGGCTATTCTCTGTGCCCATATGGATCAGTCCCTCTTATTACCATTATTCCCTTAAGCCTCAAGTTGGTTAGTTAAGTATCAGACTAACGTTTAAAGCTTTTACTTGAGTGAAGTAACTCACATTACTGCTACTGCTAAGTAATGTTAGCTATGTTTACAGCATATACCATAAATCACCATGCCATAACCAACTACTGTACTATCACACTCAGTGCATTTCTCCAGCACGTTTGATAGCTAGCAAAATAATAATAATAGTTTTAAAATTAGCATGTGTTATGTACACACACTCGAAAATTATTTACTAGGACTCACCTGTCATGTGACTCAGAGTGCAAATTCCACCAGTGTCGTTTTCCATCAAACACTCATTAAAACAGCAACGTCAAGTTAGTGCACTCATCCCCAGGGGGAGGGCGGGGTCACACATTGAAACAGACTGGCACGCAGAGGTGCAAGGCAGACCAGATGGAGAAATTTTGCTTTCACACTTTGTGACTCATTCAGTTATTTGTGGTGAATGAAATATGGTTTCAACCACGTTTAAGCACCACATCTAAAATTCAAGCACTATTCAAACCTTGAAAAGACAATATTTAAATTCAAGCCTTTTTTAATGATTTCAAGCACCCATACAAACCCTGCATATGAAAAAGCCAGAAATCCAGAAAGATGGCCAAATGAAACCAAATGTCTATGATCACAAGAAAACTACATCAGTAGAGTTGTCAAGTAGTCACAATATGAAAAGTCCTCACCTTAGCCTCCTTTTTACAGAGCAGCATGACTTGTCCCAAGTGTCCTGCAGCAGCTGAGAAGCAGAGGGGGCTCATGCCGTTTTCTGAAACAACATCCACGCTGGCGCCGAACTCGAGCAGCAGTGAGACAATTTCCTGGTGACCGAGGTGACACTGGACGCAAAGCACTGGTGCGTTGTTCAGTACTTCTGTGCGGTAATTCACGTTTGCCCCTCCCAGCATCAGGAGACGGCTTACCTGATCATACAAGCAAAAAAATAAATAAAAAATGCAGAAAGCATTCACGTTTGAATATTTATTTCAAGGTCTTTGCAAAGAAGTGAATTTTTTATCACATGTACTTAAAGGTGAAAGAAATCTGAATTAAAAATAAATGTTATTCTCTTAAGAAGAGATGACTGTTTAACTATTTTACTCTTTATTGGCTAAATTATACACTTAAAAATGTGAACTACCACCCATGTTTGAGCAGCAGAATTGTTTCCATTACTCATTTTATGGCTCATACAGAGATCAAACTTCTTATTCTCATCTTCAGATTTTTCAGACGGCAAATGAAACGGCCACATTCTAGCGAATGCAATTATCAAGTGTGGTATTCGCTTTCATTACGAGTAAATCAATAATAAAGGCCTAGTCAAACAAAACCAAAGAGTGAAATGAGTGTTTGACGACAGGAGATGAAAGTGTGTGTTATTTTCTGGATCCTCTGTAGCATAATTAACCCCCCCACCCCTCCCCCAGAGGAGAGAATAAGGTCATTTTGTAAATGTCTGTTTGACTAATACTACACATTTATACAATAACTCACAAACAGACACCAGGTGATGGAACGCCCTCTGAAACAATAACACTAACGGCAAAGAAGTACGGAGGATAATTTTTCTTCGAGCCAGAATGCATCATGCTGGCAGAACAGCCTTTCCAGGAAAGGCCAAATGATTATCGCCCTTCGAAACACGACTGAAAAGCAGTACACAGGAAGTTGGCTCGTGCGCGAAGCTTATTAACATTTACCTGTCAAATTATAATTGGACACATTAACAATATAAAAGGACAGCGGTTATTAATAAAACATTCTCTGCGTGGAGCAACATTCGGGGATTAAAAGTGTAACTAAAATCTAAAGAAAGTTGCAGTTATTTCTGAGATGCATTTGCTTTAAAATGACCTAACCAGTGTATATGATTATATTACTCCAATGTAACAAAAGGGTTATGAAAATGCTGAAAATTGGATACATATACTGTGTGTTTAATATATAGTGTTTAAAGGTTTCCTATATCCCCTCAAGAAGCTTCTACTTTGCATTTCAACAAAAGCAACCTGTTGCATTTAGGCATTTCAGGTTATCAATAATGTGTTTCTTTCATCGTTAGCTAATAAGCCGATTGTTCTGCATTCAACAGACGCGCAGGAGCAAACCTGAAGCAAAGGCTTACCTTGACATTAGGTGTGTAGAGGTTCCTCAGGGAGGCCAGGGCTGCAGAAAGGCCGTCAGTGCTGCAGTTTATCCACAGAGCCTGAAGGACACTGGATGACACGCCTGTCTTCTTGCTCAGACCCTGCACGCACGCCGATGCATAAATGCATGAGTAAATACACAAACACACATATGTAAAAACCAGCAAATCTGAGGGGCATAAGCTGTCAATGTTGCTTTCCACATCCCACGGCTTATCCTCTGGTGAACCATTGTCACAGTGCATAAATCAAGAGAAAGTGAACACCAAGAAATTCCTGCAAGGGATGGATTTCAAATAAAGATGAATGCATAGACCACGTAGGTTCCACATCTATACCTTGAAGATGTGTGCTTTGAGTATGTGGTGTCCCAGCTCCATTGTCTGCTGCCGATTCAGTTTCCCCTCTTGGCGCGATAACATGAAAGCCATGAGAGCGTGACCGGTCCTGGGTTAGAAAACAAGGGAACAGATAGGATACTCAGTCGTCAACAGTAGGAATGATTGTTCCTCTGCTTCAAACGACATGAAAGTACTGATTCATTCTGCTGATGACGAGGAGCCTGGCACTGTCATGGAGAACTATTGTATTCTGGAGCTAGTGTGAATAAGCTAAAAATGTTTGGCAATGACCCTCTGAACAACAGGGGGGAAGAGTGTCACTGAGGCACTAATTAATGCAGAACTTCATTAAAAAGGCATGCATGATTGCGAATCCCTTTGATCTGGATAAAAGTCCTCTCTAGTTGTGCCCAGGCACAAACAGAGAGGCAGTGCAGGAGGCTTTTGTCTCTCTGTGCATCTCCTGCGCCAGACTACAAGCCTTTGTTTTTTTAATGATGGAGCTGGAAGGCTGTGAATGACCAGAATACGAAGCTCAGCTCTCGTCCGTTTGGAGGCATCGCCGTGTGAGCAGAGGTGAGCAACAGGGAGGAAAAAGGTGACATCATTCAATTTATGAAGTGTGAATGACTGAAATCTCTCATTTGCGTGTGGCTCCAGCATTTCAATTAGGTAAGCACTGCAAGTACTGCTAAAAGAGATAAGCCTGCCTCGCATTGCAACATGCAATATCTGCAAAATGCATAGGTCAGTACCCCCCCTCCCTCACAAAAAGCACTATTTATTAAAACAGGGCAAATCAGTGTGAGGCTGCAAGACAACAAACAAAAAAAAAAAAAGCACTGATCAGGAGTCAAAAGTTGTGCGGGTGATCTACTAACAAAGCACAAATTCATGAGCACAGACGCAGCAGTTCATTTTACCGATGACCAATGCAAGCTGCCAACAGCAGCGCAAATTAGTGGGTTGCAAACAAGCAGATGAGGGAGCGAGTAATCCACTAACAACGCTGGTGCGGCTTGTTATTTGAAATTTGACAATTATAATACGGTACCAGCACATGTGAACAATTCAGACCGGGGAGAGGCAGTGGAAGGAGAATCGATGTGTTTGATATGAGGGTGAAGTCTGCAGTCAGGCATCTGAACTCGGATGAATCCTGACAGCTCCAAAAGAGCACAGGATTTATCTGCAGAGGTGCTGCTTTATTACAAACAGCTTCACTGTATCAAAGGTGCATTCTGAGATGACCTTTTGAATGTGCTGTACGTCGCAAACAGGCCTTGTGCTAATGAATTTAGTGCTGTGATGTGTCTGTAAATACTCACATCATCACATCACTTCACACTCAATTTTTTTTCTGCATGCCGTGTGTATTTTTTCCGAGACAAAGGAAGACTTTGGCATGCAACAAGCTGACACCAACAAACAGGACTTCAGGGAGTCTAATGTTTCTGCAAAATCTCAAATTACATTCAGTGAAGCCTGAATGTCATTGTTGCAAGATTCGAGCATTAATCTAACATGCTTCACTTCCACAGCTGTATTCTCACATTCTCACAAATGTTATGCAATGGAGTCATTATGCAAGAGAAGACGACTCGAAGAAGTGAAACAGCCTGCTTGAAATCTGATCTATGATGTTGCAGGGCTGCGTATGCAAACTGCTGACTAAAGGGGTTTATTTACAAATGGAAGCTTTGGTGCAGTCTGCAGTGTTTATTATGGACCGATTTCTGCGCAGATATGTGAAGAAAAACACTGAATTACTGCCTCTAATACATCCAGAGCCAGCTATTCTCCCCTTCTGCAGACATATCCCACGTTAAATTCTGCTCTCCTGCATTAAAATTGAGGACCGGAAATAAGCAGGACACTGCTTTAAACATTTTAGGTAAGAACTTTGTGACAACCGACAGGATGGACACCAAATTTAGGCATGATTAAAGCTGTCAGAGACCTAAAACAACTAATTCAGAAGCACTCTGAGATGCAAAACTTCATTCACATGAAGACACGTTTATCATATTATTCTGCAGCATTAGTTGTACTTTTCTTACTGTCCTACATGCCTATTTGTGCAATTCAAGAACCTTTTCTAAATGCATTACTGAAACATACGCAAACTCTAAATGCATTACAGAAGCCTGCAAACCAAATTGAGAGCTGCGAAGTTATTGCATTAGCAGAAAACTGACCTGGGGTCACAAAGGAAGTCCGTACTCTCTCCATCAGCTCTCCACACCAGCCACTCTCTGAAGGAAGGGTGACAAAACATGCGCGTCTTGTCCCTCCGTTTGATGAGAAAGCACGAGAGCAGCTCCATGCGTTGCTGAAAGTCCTCCCATTGTAGCTCCCCCTGGACGAACCCCGAGTTGATGGCGTTGAACAGCTGCTCGTCAGTCAGGGGGTGCAGCGAGGCGAGCGATACGTTGAGGATCGGCAGTGAGCGCTCAAAGGCTGAATTGGTCATGAATTTCATGTTACACTGTAACTGGTACAGTTCTGCCAGTGAAACAGGCACGACTTTGTAACTGGCACTTTTGATCACGAGGTGGCCTCTTTCAAACAGATCCAGGGTGAGTTTGAGATACAGGTAGGACCCTTGGCTGCGGGAGATCAGGTGGCTACTTAGCTTGCCGACTGTGATAGGATCGGCCTTGCCGTTCAGGCTAATATTGTTCATGATGTCCTTGCTGCCGTTGATACGATACTGGATATATGCGTTGAGGTCATTGCTGATCTCTTTGTTGTCAGAAAAGTCATCCAGGGAGATTTTGGAGAAGGGCAGGAGGCTGGTGATCTCCTATTGAAGACAAGATAAAGACAGAGCGTGACATAAAAACATACATCTGAGCTTCAATGTACTATTAAAGTGTCAATGCATGAAAAAAAGTAATTTGGTGCAGTGTTTGCATTACAGACACAGCTGTATTACTCAATACCACAGCCAATAAATAAATAATTTAATTAATTAAAAGCAAAAATATTCTTTGCATCCTGAGCTGCCATTAAGAAAAACAAAATCTGCCTGTGTACGTGTATTATCAGAGGAGTTTCTTTGAGCAGTGGGGAAGCAAGCATGCTGAGCTATCAGGCCAAAGCAGACACTTGTTACTGTTCAAAATGTGGCTGTGAGGAAAACAGGAGTGGGGAAACTGAGTATTAAGAGGCAGGGGATGGATGGGATGGTAGCTAGCGGGCAAGCAGAGGTCTGAACTAGGGCTCACATTTCAATCTGTGTCCCAGGGTTGGAGAAATCAATGCACCTTAATCCTCCAATCCTCTGCCTGTCTGAGGCTAGAGAAACATTGCCTCCGCAAGATAACATTTTTCCTCTCCCTCATCATGAGAAGGCAGCGCAAACAGACAAACACACACAAGCACATGTATGCACACGCTCAATAAAACATACCGAACACAATCCACAAGATTGGGGGGAGGGGGTGCAAACAACACCTCAGAGATTGTCCAGATATTAGTCTAGCAGGCAAGGGCCAATATATCGAACCCTTCCTCCGAGGTGAGATGCTATTTGTCTGTTCAAAGCACAAAACAATAGCGTGACAATTTCATCTCTATGCACAACTCGGATTCTGTCTGCAAATAAGAAACATTTCATGCCTTCATATTTTCTTGTCTTAACAATGCTATCTTGATTATTCTTCCATGATTCATTTTTGCTATGCCCGAGTTAGTCGGGCAGTAAAGCAGATAAGCTTTATTTATTCACTGAGGGTTTTTTGCAAGAGACACCTGAGTACAAGCGACAAGTACAAATGTACACGCATAATATTACAAGTATGAAGTGATAATGCTTTAAAGTCGATCATTTAGTGCTTCCAATTTCAAGCTAAATTGCAGCTTATACAAACACTAAGCTGCAGAGTTTCTGAACTTGTAGCCGAAAGCTTAGATAGCAAAGCCATACACACACAGACGCAGGTTTACCGATGGCTTTTGCATATTAATGATGGCCAAATGGTTCAGATAACTTACAAAGCCGAATGTAACCACTGTCTGCACTGAATGGCAATGCTGCTGACTGCTGTGTCCAGAGCTTTAATGTTAGGGGAAACGGTATGAGAATACAGCATGGAGCGTACAGTTTGTGCTTTTGATCTTTTGTAGGAACTTGCTCTAAAAACTTTTGAAGGAAGTAGGAACCATCATCATTAGCTCATATTTCAGTTTCAAGAACCTTTGAGTAATGCAAGTGTATGGTCATTATAGTCTATTGCATGGAGCAGGACTGACAACCATCATGTCCAAACAACATTTTATATACATTTTCTTTATTTACTGTATTTATTTCTCTATTTATTTTATTTTGAATGCTGTGCATGGTCCAGTTATCGTAGAATATCTTCAGTTTATCATTAATTCTGTTATTAAGCATTGTGCTGTCGTTATGTGTCATGGCATGTGGTTGTACGCAGCCCTGTTTGTTCATCGTTTTCATTTTGAATTCTGCTTTTGTAATATTTCTCATCACGTCCCACCGGACATAGAGAATTCAATTTTGGAATTTCTTTGTGATTTTGCAACCATTTCCTGCATCTTACCCAAATATGTGGACTCGTAGCCCCCCCCCCCAAAAAGAGAGGACATACAGGGTTTTTCTGCAAAAGACTGCCAACTCTCTTAAAAACTATTTAACTGACTTCTGTTACATTTTTGGAAAATTAGACATTTTCAGTCAGTGACTAACAGCCTTTCCATTGCACTTAAAGGGAACTTACTGAACATCATAGGAGCCTGATTTACAAAAACATTGTCAAACCGACTCCGAGGTTTTCACATGCGAAGTCGTCATATAGCTCCCATTAAAACAACAGTGCCATTTGATTCATTACTGCAGACAACTGCTAAGTGGTTACAGTGGGAATGTGAACAAAACAGAAATATAACAAGAAAAATATGATTACAAGAAAGTAAAAGACACATATGGCATGGTTAACAATGTGCTATCCTTTGCCACAGACCAGCATGTGCACAGGATTCACTAACAGAGGTTATAAAAAAAACAGCTACTGTTACATATGCCTTAAACCACACGTTTCCTTTCCAGCACAGTTGTTACTATGAAATCTACACACGGACAACAAAAACACATCTCCGATATACGACTGCAACCTTGTTGTTGTTGCTGTTCTTGCTTTGCCAGCCTCCAGGTGGCTAAAACGTCACCCTAGCAAATTCACACAAACAGTAACTCCCTCTCATTAAACACTGTTTCACTTTGTCAGAAGACATTACAACACATATGTTGCAGTGTTCTGCTTATGTATGTATGTATGTATGTATGGATGTATGTATGTATGGATGTATGGATGTATGGATGTATGTATGTATGTATGTATGTATGTATGGATGTATGGATGTATGTATGTATGGATGGATGTTGCAGTGTAGTCGAAATGTATTACTTTAAGTGCAGTCACCTGGAACATCTTTCCACGTCAAAAAACCAATTCTAATGCATTAATAGAAGAGCATAAGAGGTGAATACAAAATATCAGCGCTACAATATATTGATTCACCACACTGACAGGGCCTTGCCTGAATTCTTAATAGCTAGGCTGAATTCACTATATAGTACAGCCCACACTGATGGACAACACTCGACCCTGGCTTCTGACTGAGCAATAATAACTCAAATTCCAGATGTCAATCAAAAACCACATTATTATCCAAGGCTCAGTGCTTTCTTTTCCCCCAGCAAGGAAATAAGTTTTCATGTAGTTCATCAGTAGTGTCAAAGCCTCAGTTGTCAGCAGCGTGAATTTAATCCAAGTCCATAGCATTTCTGGAACTGGTCAACCTAGTGTCAGCTCAAAGTGACTGACTCATCTCTCTCCTGCCCTGCAGGTCATGTGTCTCAATTCTTTCCTGAATGTTGCTGGATATGCCTGACTCTGTAAAGAGTAGAATAACAAGCGGGAGCAGCTCAGGAAACACTTGTCAAAATGTAAAATGTGCAGGGTCTGGTGACAGTGAGTGAGTGCCTAGAGAGGTGACGGCATGTCCAGCTAGACATTTGTTAAAATGAGAGAATTTTGATTCATTTCTTTTCTAGGGTTGCCACAGTGTTAGATTTTTGATTTAGGATATGAAATGTTCTGGTCAACAATCAATAAATGTGTTTTACAGTGTTTTATGGATTGGGACACAGGGCCAGTGTGAACTGTAAGTGCAGGAGGACTGTTGGTACAACCGGCATACTTTTTTTTCCTGCACTATAAGCCGCACTTAAAATCCTTTAATTTCTCAAATTCGACAGCGTGATGCTTTATCAGGTGTAATATTAAGTTCAACATCCAGCATCCATGAAAACAAAATTTATTAAATTTAACGGAGTTAGAAGTTAGCTCGCTAGTTCACCTAAACATGATATACATGACTAAGAGATTTCTGAAAAAATTTAAATGTACAGCTCTGCCGTCCCTTTCGAATAATGAAGACAGAAAACTAAACAGCAGTGACATTTATAGGGTTACTGAGCTTGGCTAGCTGGTATAAAATGATATGCTAGCGATAGGGTTGCCAACTCCCTGAAAATAAATAAGGGACACCTCGTGGCCAGGGCCGGGACCCAGTTGTCTTCACCCTTCCGTGTGGTGATTTCTAGCTCTTTTTTGTGGTGTGAAATTATTTTTTTAACCTTTGACTTGAATTTGATTTAAGTAGATGTTATTCTTTGTGATATGAACACATGTGAAACAAATGATCATTTAGCCATTTATTTTTAGCTCAAAATGACAACATTAACACAGTAAAACAGGTTTCTTCTTAACAGAAGCCTGTCATGCTTAACTTTTGAGAATATAAGTAATCTTTCTTTAAAGAACTTTGTCCTGCTTAACTTAAAATAATAGAAACAATAGAAGAAAAATATTCTTGTAACAGTGCACATTTAGTGCATTTAGTACAATCGGCTTCAGTTGAATATTATTTCAGCTTTTCTAATGCTAATCAGCTGCTCTGTTTGTAAACCGCTTGTTCCCATGATTACGCATCTTAATCATCATCATTATTCATCTATGTATTACTTTATGTATTAGTCATCTATTTGTTGTAATCATCTATCCTTGCAGTTGTTTATTACACAAATAATATATTATCACACTTCTGGCCACATAGCGCTGATATTCATTGCACATGCCCATATTAACTTTTTCCAGCCAGGTGTTTTCCTTTTCCATTCTTCCCTTTGTCTGAGGGAACAACATTGCTGCTCTAACGTGGGCTCACACTGTGCGTTTTAGGCCATTTTGAGCCGATTTTTGAGTGATCGGACCGATTTTGGCCTTCATCGTGCATCGTGTAGTATACGTGGGGTAACGAGAAGTGATTAACACCTCACGACCAGCTCCCGATCATCAATCGCTCGTGAGGTTCTCACCACAGCCGCTCACACTGCTCGCGCGCAAACACGTAACGTTGGTGTAAAAGATGGAGCAGCACGGCTGTGCAGCGGTGTGATCTGGACACAAGCGATGGAGCACAACTTGTAGAACTTTAAAGCTCATCCGAGCCTTTTCGATTGTGGCATCACAAATTATCACGACACAACAACCGTGAAAATAGTTGGATTTACATTGCTGCTCATCACAGCTGCCTGATCATGTTTTTCCATTAGCAATTTGCAAAGTTGATGGTGGTGGTGTGTGTGTCTGTGTGAGTGTAAGACGGAGAGAGAGAGAGCGCGACAGATTTCTGTTATAACCTTCATTTTATGGAGGCACAGTGTGAGCATCAGGTCGCATCAGAGCATCGGGCGGTATAGTGTGAGAGTACATCGGTGACCTACCAATTCTAACCCTGCGAGTCAATCGTGCAGTTTGAGCAGGAGTGATAACGTGACTGAAAAAAATCGCACAGTGTTTGCCCAGCTTTAGGTTTACTGTCGTCCGAGACTGCACCGCCGTGTCGGCATTTGTTCCTGTTGGCATGCTTCTTGTTGTGGTCATCTGTTGTCTTTCCGGTATTTTCTCCGTAAGCGACCTTTCCTCGACCAATGAGATGAGCGGTAATCTGAATTGTCATACTCGAATTGTCATAAGTGTGCTGTCAGCTCATTGGTCACAAAGCAGGAGAGGGACTGGGAATTATGTTTTCAAACAAAGCGTTAATTCCATTAAAAGTTATAGACTACTTTTGATTCTCATGTATTACGGACAAAGTGCGTCCTTATTAGCTCAATACGGGACGTGTACTTTTGTTTCGAAATACGGGACGATTCCGTATTTTAAGGGACGGTTGGCAACCCTACTAGCGACACAGCTATGTTAGCATAACATAAACACAGTGAAGCTAGAGGATGAAGGCTAACTTTTTTTCACTCATAAAAGTTAATGTGAGGGTTCCCGAGGGTTAGGGACAAATGCAATCGCATGGCGGGATGCTGTAAACGGACCAAACTTCAATCAGGAGAACAACTGAGGTAATCCATCGACAATACCAGGTTAGTCATTAATATGCTGCAACAACATGGGAATAGAGCAGCTGCAAGAGAATTCAGCATTTATGAATCAATGTGGATTGGAGGAAGCAAGAAAAATGAGTTGACTTATCTGACTGTTTTGTTTCGCTTAATGCGCCTTATAATCCGGTGCGCCTTATGGTCCGAAAAATACAGTATATTAAGTAAGTGAAAACTAGCACTAATAACATTAAAATATATTAAAAGGTAAGACTGTAAAAGCACTTAGTTAAAGATGCTTAGTTAAACCAGCCTGTGCAAATTTCATTCAATTTGTATAAAAAAATATAACAACAGAAGTCTTGAGTGTTCAAACTTTTTGATAAGCTTCAGCTCAGAGCGCTTGGAAAGCAGATAGTAGAGGATAAGAGCAGACACGAAACTGGTAATTAAGTTAAGAATCAAGCCCTTAACAGCTTGCCTGTATCCAGTACTTCACTCAACAGTGTAACAGCCAAACTGCACCTGTGTGAGTTCATTGTGGGAAGCGAGTCTCTGAGTGTGTGAGAGAAGCAGCTGCAGCAACAGAAGAGTGAATGCCATTAGCAGTAGTTACTTTAATCAGCCGTAAAGTGTGCGGATAAGCCGAGTAGTTACCGAGAGGGAAGAAAGAGTGATAAACTTTTTAAAACTAAAACTCATCACCAGTATAATGTGACATCTGTAATTCTGACTCGAGGTGATTATAACAGTGAATATTTTGTCATCTGAGTGAACTCAGAGCCATGCTTTATAAGTTCTTTCTTACCACCAAGTTGATTCGAACAGTGACAACCAGTTTTAGCCAGGAGGGGAACTTGGCAATGATTTTTGTGATGAAGGATGCAATGGTGTCTCCATAGTCTGGTTTGTGGAACTCTGCTTCATTCAGCCCGTCTATTAAGATTATGTAATCTTCCTCTGGAATCCTTCGCTCTGCAAAGACATTTACAAATAAACTAAATATTAAAATACTATGAAATGAGATTAGTGGTCTCATACACGATGAAAATGAAATAGTGCAATATACAACTACAGTGTTTTACCTTTCCGAAGGTTGGCCAACGGTTCCAGGACTCCTCTCCGGAAAGCAGCCATGGGGTCTTGGACACAGGAGCGCAGACTGAGCATGCTCTGGAGGTGGGGCTCTTTCAGCAACAGCTCCCGGTACGCACTCAGTTGATGAGCTCTGCACAGAAGGGCTGCGATGCTGTGCACAAATTCTGGGACCAAGCAAGTGTACGTGTTATCTGCCTGGCAATAATGATAAGCCACCACCTGGAAGACAAAAGGAACGAGAACAAACGCGAGTGAAGCCATTGCTTTTTGAGAATCAGGAAGAATTAAAAATATGATTCACTGACTGATGGGTACATTTGATAACTTTAAAGCGTTTACAAACACCAACATCTCTGGTGACTGAAAAACTACCATGACAAAGTAAGTAAGTGAGGCTTTTGATACCAACAAGCCTCCATAAAACTACATATTATCTCTACAATGTCAAAGACATGATTTTATCCTTTCATTATTTCACACAGAAGGGATGATGAAGAGATTGGGCAACGGAAAGCTATAAAAAGAAGTGAGTAGATCCCAGGTGGATATCTAAAGGTAGAATCTTCTGTACCTGAGCAGGTTTCCGCAGCATTCAAAGGAGGTCTGATTTAAAAGGAAAATGTAGGGACAGAGGTGGAGAAGAAGGAAGATGACTGTACTAATTACAGTCCAACCTGGAGGAGCTGACACACTTCCAGGCCCACAGGAGGAGGAGCAGGTGATCGGTTCCTCTGACGGCTCAACCTCAGCTGTTGCTGTTTAGTTCTCCACAGAAAACCGATGACCAGCTTCTAGAAAAATGACTAAAGCCTCAAGATATGAGACTTTTTTTTTTAACATTTAGCATCAATAAATGTTTTGGACCCAAACTTCTCCCCACAGCACAGATCTAAATGCATATTTATGGTTCTTTCTTTTTCAAATAATAACATATAACTCACATGCCAATAAAGGCACAATTAAAGCTAGCGCAAATTAGAAAAGAGGGAGGTAAGATTTTAAAAATTATAGCTGAACTCCCTGGATGTATATAACCCATCTTTAGTAAGGAAAACATGTGACATCCAGTCAGAAGATGGACCAACTGAAACAATAACACAACCACTGATTCACATCTTCTCCAGAAACTGTCAAAAATCACGACCACCAGAATTTTTCTCTGATGTTATGCTTTACCCTAAAAGCAGCAAACGTCTGAGAGAAGTCCGAACACTCCTTTCTGTCATTTTTGCGTCACGCGTTTTTTGAGCTTCATCACAAATGTGACATAACAAAGAGGGAAACTGATATATTGAATGCCTATTATTGTACAAAGTCAAGTAACCTGCTGTGTGCATGAACACAACTCTTAATAAGCCCCCTACTGCAGTGATGATTTAATTTAGCATACAAGTCACGCAGACTACCGCCTCATCAATGAGCAATACGAATCTCGACACACGATGATGCAAGGCTCTGCAGTCAAACCTCGGTAGCTCATCTGCTGGCAAAACAATAAATGCATTTTCAGAAATGTTACCTAAAGGCACGTCTCGATAATAAGAATAAAGCAGAAAGGGTAGTAGCCTCAGTGCTCCTGTTATGAGACCACTTTTAAATCAATGATTAAAAAAGCACTGGCAGAATCTGACAGAAGCTGCTCAGCGTTGCATCACACATCACAGGAACAGAGCCCCTGTGAAGGCGCCTATTGGAAACACTTTTCACCATAATTGGCTCAAGAGATACTGCTTGAGTTTCACAGACATTTACATGAAGCTCACTGCATTACCCTAGCTGTCTGGTGCATGAACTGTCCCCTTTGACAGGGTCACTAATTAGGAGGCCTCCCTGACAGGATAAGAGTATTAAATTCTAAAGGTGTTAGAAGGACAACAGGTTGTAATCAGTACCATTAAACGCAGCAGAATCAGTAGGAGACGTCACATCCACTGAGAAAGTCCTTCACAAAGCTGCCACCTATTAAATTACCTTACAACCTACCATCACAGCACTATTCAAACTCAACTGACTACAACAGTGGATCACAAATCTTCTCTGAATCCCGGTGGCCCCCAATCATCTTTATTAGACCTGCTACAAGGCAATAGCAGTGCCAAAGTCATCAAATGGTGCTTTTAGCAAGCAGTATTTCCAAAATGTAGTGAACGTGCACCTGCTATGTGACTGAACCCTCAGCAACACAAGAAGAGGTGGTGCGAGTAAAGATGCGGGAGTGAAAAATCGACAGAGAAATTTCAGTGGAAACAGAGCGAACAATTCCAAAACTAAAATAAAAGAGTCGTAGGCAAAAACCGCACACTGCTTAGTCGGCGTGCATCGAGAGAGGAACATTTTAAAGTGAAACATCGAGGACTTGTCTGTCCACTTCACAAGTCTGAAAGAGAAAGATGTGCAGAAATATGCTCAGTGTCTGGTATGCATGTTTGGGGGGGGGGGGGTTCGGTCACAGACAAGTGGTTAACAATGTTACTGACGGTGTGGGGGAGTAACAGAACACATGTAAAGCTGTTACCGTGCAGTACTTTATATCTTGTGAAAAATGTTGACAAGCTTATACAAGAAAACACTTAATCTTCTGCTCAACAGCGCTGACACGTAAACTTCCCAGAGAGGCAGTATTTAGACTTTATTTTGCGATCCTTGTAACGCCAGAAAAATCAACAGATGGAATATTCATCTGTCAAAAAAGTAAGCACTGTCCTCAGTAGTCAGTGTTGCTCCGCTTCATGGAATTTTGAGGATCCTTATCATGTTCAAACATCCCAGTTCAACACTTGAACAGGCGGCCTTACAATATATTTAAGCACCTATTTGAAGTTGACACAGGAACGGATACCAACCAGTAATTAAGCAGTAGTAGTGCCATACATGTCGGTATAACTGATAGCCGCCTAGATAAATGGTGTTGCTATTTGAAACGTGTGTTGATGTTTGTAAATTCCTAAATGACGTCTAATATTGATGAAGCTGGCTCTGTTTGACGTTGGTGTGTGTTTACATTCTGTGCTCTCAGGTCATGGCTGACAGGGCTCGCTGTGGGTTGTTGCTCCCTGAGGAGGTTCTAATCACTGACTAGTAAACTGCAACCTACCCTTATTGTTATGTATAATTTTATGCATCATTCAACAGAATATATCACAATTATCTGTGGTCACTATTAAAGAGGAGTTTTCAGAAGTCAGACTGAAGCTGTTGTAGAAGTACTTGGTAAAACCTGAGATGCTTTTTGGTCGATTTTCCTTCTTTTTCCTTTTTTTTTTTTTTTTTTTTTTAAAAAGAAAGGAAGAAACAACAAATCCATCCATCAAAAACAAAAAATAATCTACTCACTGTTGAAAATTGTTAAAATTACTTTT